AAAAAAATATCAAAATTCCGCAAAAAGCAAGTGGGCGTGGCCGAGGGGGGGGCCCGCAGTAGTGTCTGGCGTGATTTGGTTGATGAATTGCGCAGCCTAATAAGTGTGGTGAATTCGATTCGGAAGGTGGGTGAATTTGGTTTGAAAAGGGGTGAATTTGGTTTGAAAAAGGGTGAATTTGGTTTGAAAAGGGGTGAATTTAAAGTGAAAATGGTATATATCCAGATGCAATAATATACCAGTTCCTTTGAATTTTGCTACAAAGTGACTCAATTCCCGCTTTTCAGTTGACGTACTGGGTGTCACGGTCTATCGTAGAAACGGAGTCGCTGGAAGAGCGGGTGGCGATGTTTGCTCGCGTTCTTGAGGTGAGCATTGTCACTGAGCCACATGACTTCTATAGGTGTTCAATGTGTTCTCGATAATAGGTATGAAGGAAAAGGCAGAAAATTCTGAATAAAATTTATTTTTCAATGTAGTCCCCCATAACCTCACACTTGTTTGCTCGGAAAACTAACTTTTCAATACCCATTAAAAGTATTTTTCCTCTTTGTTCCCGAGGCTCTTCATCGTCACAGAAACGTTTTCCTCGAAGATCTTCCTTAGATTGGGGAACAAGAATAACCACTAATCATTTTCTCAATTTTCTTTTGATTTTTTCTAATTTTTTTGAGAAGTAATCATTTTCTCAAAATTGTCGCATCAGTCATTCTGGTGTTCTTTAACCAAAGATAACTAGAATTGCGTTGATGGGAAACTAGATAAAAATTTGTATTCATACCCTCTGGGAGGGGAGACGGCAAGAGAATCGAAATTTGTCGCTCCGCCGCACGCGGCGATAGACGCGGCGTTTTCTTAACTCGTGTCAACCTGTCCATCCGAGCACCGGACTTCATGTGGATCCCTCATCGTAGAGATTCATGACTATTTTCGGTTCTGAATTGCCTGTTGTCGCCATCTACTACCTGGAACCATCGTCATTTGCGGGCGCGACGTCGCACGCGACGCTCACCAGCGCGGCGAATTACGATTCTCTTGTCACATACCCCTCAAGGAGTGTCGTTACTATTGAAATGATTCAAATTCCTTTTCGTCACTACT